TCAGTGCTGAGCCTGGTGCCAGCAGGAGTGGACTGGGGAGAGTGGAGTCATAGACTCATAGAGCACTAGAACTGGAAGGGACCTCGAGAGGTCATCGAGTCCTGTCCCCTGCCTTCACGGCAGGACCCAGCCCCCTCTAGAACATCCCTGACAGGCGTCTGTCCAACCTGCACTTAAATCTCTCCAGATGGGGATCTTCCACAACCTCCCTGGGCAATTTATTCCAGTGCTTAACCCCCCTGAAACCTCCTTTGCTGCAGTTTAAGCCCATTGCTTCTTGTTCTATCCTCAGAGGCCAAGGAGAACAACTTTACCCCGTCCTCCTAGTAACACCCTTTTAGATACCTGAAAACTGCTCTCCTGTCCCCTCTCAGTCTTCTCTTTTCTAAACTAAACAAACGCAATTCCTTCAGCCTTCCCTCCTAGGTCGAGTTTCCTAGCCCTTTAGTCCTTGCTGTGGGGGTGCACACACTGCACAGATGTGTCAGAAGTGGCGAAGCGCAATCCACAGACATTCCCAAATTTGCTTTAAACCAGCCAGCACCCGTGGTAAAGCTGCTGGAGTAAGAGCAGGGCCTGGACAGGTGTTGTTCCGACTGTAAATGCAGCTGGATAGATCAAAGCCAGCTCAGTGCTGCAGTTGCCCCTCTTACTGCAGGGTGGACAGACCCTTATCCGCTCTGGCAGGCTCTTGAGGGTCCTGAAATCAGCGACCGCTTGAGGTCTAAATGCCAGGGCAGAGCTAGGTCCTAGCTGCCTACGTCCCTTTTTAAAGTGGCATGCCAGGCACTTGTGAAAACGTGACCCCGACGTTCATTCCGTCCCTCACCATAGTGTAAGGCTGTCCCCAGACCCTCCTTGGAGCATGGGCACCTGAGCTGACCCTGCCTGTGGTTTTCCGGGTGGATTAGATCTTAACAATTCTTCCCCGCCCCGACTGCTCGGGTGGGCCGGCTCCTGTACTGTTACCTGGGAGAGGTGCTGCTCTGAGGCGAAGCCCAGCCCGTACACTGTGTTGGCTCGGCTGTCCGCCCATTGTCCGAACTTCTGGGAGGTTTTTGTGAAGGTCATGTTGGGGGTGATGGTGCTGTTGATGATGGCCTGCGAGGGGAGGAACAGGGACCCTCAGTCCAAGAGGGGCGCTATGGTCTGTCAGGCGGACTGACCGCAGCGTGGGAGGGCGCTGGGAACGGCCTCCCATTTTATCGTTCCCCCGTCGGGGGGCTTTCCCCTCTCAGACGCCAGCCCACGTCGCCAGTGAGCCAGACTTGTTCCGAGCGGACAGGCCATGTGACGCGAACGGGTCTGCCACAAAACCCACCCCAGCACTGGCACCGGGGGGTCAGGACCGGAGCAGCCCTCAGAAGCCATGCACAATCGTCCCCCCGAGCACAAGGCCAGGCTCACGGGGGAGGATGTGGCTCCGCTATGCGGTGCAGGGCTATCAGTCCCAGCCCGGCCTTTCCACCCGCACTCAACTCCCCCCGGAGATTAAATACGTCGGCATGGAGACGTTGGCCGTAACGCTTTCCCTGCCCAGCGTGGTGCGTAAGGGAAGCAGGAAGCCCGCGGCAACCACAGCCCAAGCGGCGCTTGCTAGCAAGCTGCCAGGCCTGCCCAGGGCCCTCACCTTGGTGCCGCCCACGCTGATGATCCGGTACACGTTGCGCGTGGCATCGTAGAAGTAGGAGACAGTCAGGGCGTGTTTGCTGGCAGGGATCCAGTTGCGCTTCGTGGCCGGGTCGATCTGAAAAACGTGGGCCCGAGTGCTGAAGATCGGCTGCTCCCTGGAACGGAAGGCTCAAAACTGTCAGGGGTGTGGGAGGGGGGAGGGGAGGCGCAGTCTGGGACGTGAGCTGGCTTCCTGGCACCCCCGTCGCACTCCACAGAGCACGCGGCCTTTCTGCTCGTTCTCTCCAGGGACATGAGGTGTGGAGCCCCCCCCGCTTCCGCTGGGGAGCACACCCCGAGTGAGCAACCCCCAGACAAGAGGGGCTCAGCCAAAGGAGAGGCAACTCTTCCCCCCATGGCTTGGAAGGACACAAGCATCCCCCATTCCTAGGGGCTCCTATTTTAGGCACCTGCCTCTTTGGGATTCTCGCTGCTTCTCCAGAAGGCCCGAGACCCAGACATTCCCTGCGGCTCTTGGCTAGGACTCACGAGCCATTGGAGACCATTAGCTGATGCCAGGGAGAAGAAAACCGAAGACCCTGTAGCTCTTTTCGCCACCTCCCCCACCCCTTCTCTCAGCCATGGCGGCCTGTAACACGAGGGCAGCAGGTTTCTCTGCACCCTGCAGAGCTCCGCACGCCAGCCGCTCTGCGCTGTGATCTCCCAGCCTCTCCCCATCCTCCAGGGCAGGCCCCTGGGTCACATGGGCCCACGTCGGACACCAGGCTCTTACACACTGGGGCCTTGTAGCATGGGCTGCAAGGGGGAGTTATGCTGAGCTGGGGCAGGACCTATGAGACGCCTGATCTGAGCCCCCTTTCACATAGTGCACCTAGCGCCATAGCGGTTACTTCACAGTTAATGGGGCCATATTAACGGTTTCTTTTCTGCACTTGGACTCTGGGCTTCAGGGGGGTGTGTGACTGTCCCAGGGTACTGGGTGGGGGCTCAAGCCAGTTCTGTGATGGATAGATGGATGGAGAGGAACCCCTAGGTATTGAACCCGACCCAGGCTGCTGCTGGTGCTACCTGGCAGAAGGGTTGCTAAGCAAAACCCAGATCTCAGGCAGCGGGACATGACTTGAGCCCGGCCGGAGGGATCCAGGTCTTTTTTGACATTCCTTCCAAACCTTAGACCCTGGCCGTTGCCGGCGGGAGCCTGAGCAGGTGAACTTAGCTGACACATCCTGCACTCCAAGGTTGGCAACCGGCTGGGGTGGCCCAGATACAACCCCTGTAACCCAGAAACGCACTTTCCTGATGCCGTGAGCTAACCCGCCCTCCCAGCCATAAAGAGCCAAGCCTACTACTGTCACCGAGACTTGGGGGGGGAGGGAGGAGACGTTCTGCAAACCTGCCTCTGCTCCCCAGATGCAACTCTCTTCCCTGGACTCTGATCCTTTGGTGTCACGCTGCCCCTGGAATCCCAGCCTGCTCCTTCCCAAGGGCACTTTGGGATCTCCCTCTGGTCCATTTGCCCAGCATTCCCCTGATGTATTTTCCTAACAAGCCTCAAATCCACTGGTCTCTGCTAACACATGGTGCATTTTATACATAGCTCCAGCGTGGGGGTGGGAGCCATGTCCTGCCTTACCTCTCCGAGGCACAATTTCCACTGGGTGGGAAACTAATGCTCCTCTCCATTGATCCCAGGCCCAGGGCAGACAGACACAGGAAAGTTGTTACCTAGTTGTTGACATTGGTTAGTATCGGCTGGACAGACTGTTAGGGAGTGAAGTTAGTACGCATCAGTCTTCCAGCAGCTTCCTAGATCTTGGTTTGGCCTCCTCAGTGATTCATTTCCTGGCAATGGAAAAGTCAAGCCATTATTTGTCGCGCACAACTCAGAGCGCACCCAGTGGGGCAGTGTTGAGGAGGCTCGCTTGGGTCTCTGTCTCTCCAAGTAGATCATTTGTAACAATATCTTGTCACCGGACACACGCTCCGGCTCGCCGGGGAAGCCACGTAACTCAAAGTCACCGCCCCTGTGCCGGCAGCAGGAGCTCAGGGGCTGCCCTGGCTTTAGCATGGAGCTATTTTTATGGAGCAAAGTGCGTGGGCTACAGAGCTGCTTATTGTGATTTGACATCCTCTGGCAGCAAGGGCCTGGGACAAACGGGAGTGGAGCTTGGATGGGTCCCCTGGTGTATCGGTAGTTTGGCCTGCCCCGAAAGGGTATTGGGTCGCTTTTAATAGCGATGCCTCCGGGGCACTGACTGACCAGAGGAACTTTCCCCTCCCCAAACCCTTAGAGAGGCTGTGATCCAAACCCCGTTGAAATCAAAGGAAACTCCCCCACTGACATCAGTGGGCTTTAGATTAGGCCTAAATCCACACCACACATCCCTGTCGGGACTACCTGGCTGAGCCCCAGCAGACAGCCCGGCTCACCCCACAGAGACAGAAGAGTGCAAGAACTGGGTGGCCGTGAGCTAGAACCGGCTACGTCCCCCTCCTCACCGGGGTGCAGCTGTCATGACCCCTTCGGGCCCTGGGGCTGCGAGGAGCCGTCGTCATCACGTTTCAGATCAGATGGGACCCGGGAGACATTCATTGTGGCTCACTTGTGTCAATTGGAAGCAGGGTTATTGACTGTGCCACAGACAGCACAGGAGCCAGGCTCTGAATCACCACCCGGTGGGGAACCCCTTTACGGGGCAGAAGAGCGCTCCCCTCCCCGGGCTCCCTGCTGAGGCTGGCCTGGGGGGGAAGGATTCCTGC